GACTCTCTTCCTTCTGCAGTGTTACAAATAATTGCAAACCACTATCACATATACTGGAACTACCCGTTCCAGTGGCCAGAAAAAAAGAAAGAACTGATTGGAAGTTGTGCTCTTCATTCAGTATCTTCTTTGAGCTTTCTGAAATGGAAAAACAAGCATCTTTTCCCAGAATCTGGCTTTGTTTCACCTACTTATGCATGTATGCTGATTCATGTGACCTGTGGTAAGATAATCAAATCCTCTTAATTTTCATGCTGACTAAGCCAGGGCACATCCTTGATGCTCCCTTGAATCAGCAAGACCTTAGGAATAAAAACTCTTGCCCGCAAGATAGAATACATTTGATGTAAGCCAATTTGCATTGTTTCACGTATAGGCAATGGACATCAAAAGAGATACTTTATTACAACTGCCTCTTGGCACTTGAGTTAAAAAAGCAGCTGCCAGTTCCTAATGTGATTCATGGGGGATATAAGGATCCTCTCAAGTGTGGGCATTCACTTTAATCTGCTTCAAACAGAGTCACAATGAGAGGACTCTTCTTGGTCATCTGGTTTACCTTTCCTCTTGCTTTAGGGATGAGAAACATGAGGCCAAGAAGGGAAGTCACTCAAAATTATCTGGCTGGTAAGTGGCAGGGGCACCTGAGGTCCTGCCTCCTGTGCCCTTCCCAGCTGATAGTGCTGCCCACACGTCTTGTTCTACGCTCTGCTCTCCCGGCTCCAGTTCAACAGGTCTGAGCCCCAACAGAGGGCTCTGGGAGAGGCGTTTTGGGCTGGGCAGACGTCAGCATCCCCCAAGGAGAGGAGAGCTACCAGCCTCCTCCTGAAGTACCCAGCCCGTGTCGTTGGGATCAGGTTGATGATCAGCAGCCCTGTGGCACTCAATGCCCTGTGTGTTCCCAAAGGAGGCCAGATATACAGGGAGCACGTTCAGAGACCAGCCTCTGCAGCCCTTTAAAAACTTTCTTTTCCTCTCTCAGGTCCCAAGTTGGAGCAACAGCGCACTTGAATTTTGCATTCCCTGGAATATTCCTTCCTAATTATCCTGATCTTCTACTCCACTGGAAAATTCCAGCCTCTGCATCCTTTCACTTGGACAATGCCAGAAGCATCAGTTTGAAAGCAAACCCACCATGGTCAAGAAAGAGGTGGTGAAGGCTTCCCAGCATGGGGTTGGGGCATGCTCAGCATGCTACCCAAGGCAGGGGTAGGGGGCAGGAGGCTGGGCAAGTCTTTTCCAGTTTTAGAGGATTGTCTTTGTGGAACTGGCAAGACCTGATTCTTTGTGGCTGTATTTCCAGCCAACTGAATCAAATTAATTTCACCTTAAAGACTTTTTGAGCATTATTATAATGTCCCTTGAGACCATATAAAAAGGGCCCCAAGCCAATATTAAGTAGAAACCATAGCTGTAAAAATGACCATGTGCACTAGCAAAGAGCATAGGATACTAAGAGAAAATGCTTGGCTGGTTTGTGTCCTTGACCTATTTCCTCCAAATCAGTGTCTCTGGCAAGGCCACATAACTGAGGACAGTCCCCTGAGTGATTTAGTCAAAGGAAGTATGAAGTGAAGCTGAACAAGTCTGACATTTAAATTGTCATGGAGACAGGGTCCGCAAGAGGCAGCCCAAATCCTCCTCTATTTTGCCGTCGCTTTAAATAATGCAAATTGAAAACCCTAGCTGCTGAATAATGCTTCTTTTCTATTTCTGATGGATTTTTTTCCCCTTCCAGGGGAGCTGAGTTATGAGGCAGTGAGGGAGGATGGCTCTGGCAAGGCCTTCAGATTACAGACCTTTAGCCCTGAGAGGCCACTGAAGAGGCCACGTGAAAGTTCCGATCTGGGGTCATTTCAGATAGGCGTTCTCTGGGAAAGGCAGCTCTGTCTGCAGTCCTCCTGGCAATATAGCCAGTAGGTGCCAAAGTCTAGGTGCTTAGGCTCAGTCCATCTGCATCATCATGGCATCATTAAAAAGGGGCACCTCCTTTTTACAGTGGGGTTCAAGACCTTCTCTATGTCTCACTGGAACAGGGTAACATGATCACTCTGGGCCATTGGAGAAAGAGCGCAGTAAAATGACTCAGTCTGGTTTGCAACTTCCAGCTGGGAGGGGCGGAGCTCAGCAGCTTCCACAGGATGGGGAGCAAGGGCACAGCGGGACAGAGTTTCACGGCACGCAGCCACCATGGCCAGGCCAGCCCAGCCCAGGGGGCTGTGCGGGGCATCACACCCTGACTCTTCCGGTCATGCCTTCTTCATATCGTCCCAGGGAAGCTCGGGCTACTGGTGAAGAGCAAAAGTCTCTTTGATTTATGATCTGTGTCTTGACTTAAGCCTAGAGAAGGCATTTGGATTAAAAGATAAATCTCTTTCTCCCAGTTCTTAGATATATAACTTTATGATTCTGTGGATGGGAGGGAGAGGGGCATTATTGTTAAAATGAGCTTGTCATCTTTCATTGGGTTCTCCTGGCTAACTATAAGAGAGTAGACCAGCGATTTTCAACTGGTGTGCCATGTGAATTTTTAAAACATGCAATATCTGATCATTTAGTCAGGGGCACTGGCCTCTTTTCCCTTGTCAAATTGGGAAAATAAATGTCAAATTTATTGTCAAATTAAAAAATGAAAAAAATGACAACAGCCGACACAACAATAGCCATCTGGTGTGAATGAATTAAAATTATACCTATTTTTTTTTTGTCAGATTGGCAAAACATATAATTTTTTTTTGGTGTGACGCAGAATTTTAGTAATTAGTTTATGTGTATCATGGGATGAAAAAGATTGCAGATTGCTGGAGTGAATAATTTGTCACGTGAAATCTGAGACAGGAGCAGGTACCAAGAATAAAGACTCACAGGATAAATGTTCCCTGCAAATAAAACACCTAGAATCTTCTGAAACCACTGGACTTGCCCAAGACCACATGTCAGCCTCGGTTCACTTCAGTTCACATTTCTGGCTTGTGGAAGAGCTTCTTAACCGGCAAACAGATGCTTCTGAAGATTGAGGCTTAAAGTATTTTTTGCTTTCCAGATGACATTTCTGACTTTTCACCCAGATTAAGAGGTCCTTGATCTGGACCCTGGGAGGTGGGGGAAGGGGAGAGTGGGGAGGATACCACCTGGCTCACAGGTAGCTCCTGTTCTCCTGAGCAAATGGAACGGTAGGTTGAAACACAAAAGAAAAAGGCAGAGGAACCATGAGATTTTTTAAGGGTAATTTCTCCCACCAGCAGGATATGGATGCAGGGAGTCAGGTTGCAATCAGGCAGAGCCCAAGTGTTCTTTAAGAAAATGTTCCCTATTTTTGTGTGCCTTGGCACACTCAGGGTGGAATGCGAGGGTTGCCATGGCAACATTTTTTTTTTTTTTTTTACAGATTGGTCACATGAGATCCACACACATTCTGGAAGCCACTGCTAATCATTTCCATGCTGGGTCCTGTTTGGGGGCTCTGTCTGCTTCTAGAGTGACAGGCAACAGCTTCTTTGGGGCCAGCCAAAGGCATCAGGGTCTGTATCCCTTGTCTCACAAACAAAATGCCTCCTTGATCATCACTGGGGGACACCCATTCTTGCAACAAGAATGAGCCACGTTCAGTTTGCTAGTCGCTCAGCTGTCCCTTAATAGACCCCTACGTCTGTTGGCTGGGAGCACAGCGCAAGAGTTAGGGTTCCCCCTCTCTTTTCCTGCAGAGGTTACCGCTCACTGGGACCACAAAGCGTGGGAGACCAGGACCTTCTAGAGTCTTCAGCATGAGCATCACAACCCCTGTGGCGAGGGTGCTGACCTGGAGCAGCACTAGTGTGGGCGGGGCTGGGGGCGGGGCTGGGTGCAGTCCGCGCCTCGGGCTGCCCGACAGAGCGTCCAGTCAAAGCAGCCAGGGCGCAAGTCACCGGGACAAGCCCCTGTCTCCCAGAGCCTCAGGAATGCCACTGCTCTGGGTTGTCTCCACACACGTGGGTGGCACCTGGGAGGTCACCATGGAGGAGGCTGACTTCTAGCCCAGCAAAGAGAGTTCTGTGCCTTCCTTTTTGTCCTCTCTCCCTAGCAACCCCCACAACAGATGGGCTCCTGGGTAGGATGGCTGAATTCCTGGTCATTGGATCACTGGGAGAGGGAAGAGGTCCTCCTGGGGGAGAGGATGCTGAGAACTTTCTGGGTACAGGCTGTTGGTCCCTCTCTAGAACTCCTTCTAATCTCCACCTCCTGCATCGTGGTTCATCTGTCATCCAATGAAGGCTAACCCTCACATCTTCAGGGTCCCCATTCTCCAGTGGGAGGCAGAAGAACTGGCAGAAAAGCAGCCTTTGAAATAGTACTCACTTCTAGCCTCAACTACAACATTGCAACCCCCTCTCATGGGGCACGGTCCTTTAACAATCATCCCTGGGGTCTCTGTGGAAGTCTACTTAGGATCCTGCACCCTCTCCCTAGTCCCACATGGTCTAGTGGTTCAGGGGGTCCTTTCCACCCAAGTACAATTGAGAGAGGGACGGCCAGCTGCTTTGGGCAGGAGCTAATGATGAAGCTGTCCTATTAGAATTCTGTGTTTGAACCTGTTCTCATTCACGATTCTGATGAGGGGGCGGTGTGTGCTGAGTCAGGCAAGGAGAGAGAGGGGAGGCAGTGTGCGGGATGTACTGTGACAGGGCAGGGCAGGAAAGAGGGACAGGCAGGCTGGTGCTTTCCTGGCCTGGATGTGTGAGACCCCAGGCATTTTCTCAGAGTCTCTCAAACTCCTGGCCTCTTGAAAGTGTATACCTGCTTCCTCCTTTGTATTATGGCTCAAACCCTAGTTTTTCTTGTGCTCATCATGAATATTCTCAGTCTCCCACAGTGGGGAAGTTCCTACAGCTACCTGCAGGCCGTTGCCTGAAGTGCTTGCAGAGGTGAATCAGAAGGAGACCCTAAACTAAGACCTTGGATGCTCCAAGTCTGAGAAGGCAGTAGGGAGAAAGCAGAGAGGAAGGGGAGGTGTAAGGAGGGGTTCAGGAGTGCGCACTGTGCCAAGAAACCTATCTGGCTGCAGTGAGAGAGGAAAGATTCTGGAGCCTCAATATTGGAAGGGAAAAGCAGGTAGCTTTCGGATGCATTGGGAAGAAAGAGGAGCAAGACAATTCCATTATAGAAATAAAGACCTGAGCTTGGAAAAGTACAAAGGGAAATTTTCCATTGAAAGATTATTGGCTAATCAGACTATGCCAGCTTGAATTAACAGTGGTGGCTGATATGACATCTAGGAAAAGCCACGAAATTACAGACTTGAAATGGTGTTGCAAACAGACTACTGGATTCAGTTTCCTTCCCCAACAGAAGAATTCTGCCTGCAGGAGTAAATTACCTGTCCTGTTGGCTAAGCTTATTAACATCCTTTTGTTTTTTTTCTCATGGAAATGAGTCAGTTGCAGGATCTGAATGTCTGAAGATGTTATGTAACATAGAGTAGTTTGATCTTTCCATCTTTCCACTCTGGATTGTATTTCTCTTTGTATCTGGGGAAGACTAACTTACAAAGTAAATCGTAAGATGAGAGGAAGGTAAGATGCACGAGGACCTTAACTTACAGAGGTCTTCTGGCCGGGAGACATGAGCGGCTCCATCACTGCGGACGATGGGAGGAGGGCTGCAGCACCGCCTCGCCACCAGTTTCAGTCCCCTGGCCCCCAAACTACCTCTCCTACCCAAAAGAGGTAGGGAAGTGTGTTGGAGGACAAGCTTATATCGGGAGTAAGCGTTTAGGGAAGAGTGATGTCACAGGTGAAGAAGCCAAATAGATACGTCTGTCTACCTGTCTATATTATTATAGAGATGCCCACGATTATGCTTCTTTTTTCTTTAATGGCAGCACAGGCAGCAAAGCTGGGAGGAAGGCTCTCTGCAGATTCCAAAATGCTGGTGCGTGATGGGCTCTAGGAACAGAAAGCCAAGTACAGATGGAAACCGAGAACTCCCCAACTCTGCCAAGAGTCCTGTAGAGAAGGCAGTAAGAACGGAAGCATGGGAGCAGCTGCAGGCCGCCAGGTCCCGCACCCCATTCAGTGGCTTTCCCCTCACGCCATGCGGGGCTCCACTTGGCGGAGGAAGGAAGCCAGGGCCAGAAGGAGTGCCCCTTTTCTGCAGCAACCCCAAAGTCGGCCTCTCGGGTTGCCCTTGGGGGTCTCCAGTTGCCCCGTGGGTTGAAAGAATGGGGTGCGGAGGTGACTGCGTGTTCACGCCCCTCTCTTGCTCTCTCACACCCTCGGCCTGGATGGCCATTGGAATTCCGAGATGAAAATGTAGTCTATCTTCTGAGTTCCTGCAAGTGGTTGAAGCAATCATTCGGAACTCCTGGCTATTTATTGCATTGGGAAACAAAACCATTAAAGCATTTAAGACAGCCCTTTTGTGTCCCTGCCAAGGAGATGAAGTGGACTTGCAACACTTGTTGCACTGCAACCTTGGGTTCTTCTCTGAACTGTGCCACTGCGTCCAAATCTGCTTTTGAGGAGGAACAGTGTCTGCCCGCAGGGCATGCGCATGCGCAGGGAGCGGGGACCGCAGCAGCGTGGTGGCGGGAGGCTGCTACTCCATGCCGCTCCGCAGGATCTGGTTGGCCGCAATCAGCATGACGCTTATGATGAAGGCCATGGCGAAGGCGCAGATGAGGCTCTTCCGGACGCAGGTCTGTCTGTTCTGTTTCTGGGAATGCACTGGGGGTGGGGGAGTAGAGAGGGCAAGGGGACATGGACGGAGGGGAGCAGAGGGGGAGAGAAGAGAGAAATGTCATTTGTGAGACAGGCTACACCTGTTTCTCAACCAGCCCAGTGTCCAGAGCATAAGATGCCGACTGGTCAAGTCAAGGCGACAAGCATTTCTGGGACACTCTCAGAGGAGACTGAACACCACGTCCTCCCGTAAATGGCATGAAATGGTGAGGCTTCTACGACAAAGACCATGACAAATGTGATGGGCAGAGTAAGGTAAGAACTTGCAGATATAAGAGTTACAGTGAGGTTCTGAGTGAGGCAATATGGAGCATTTCAGAGTGAGCTTCACAGAGGGCATCGTCCAGGCCTGGCCGCGTGGGTTTCTGCAAAATGCCTGGCTGCCCTGTCCCAGGCAGCTTCTAACAGTCGGTGAGAGGTCCCTACCTATTCGTGCTGGGCTGGAAGCGCCTTACCTTTCCCAAAGTTGTTCTTGGGTGGCTGCGGGTCCCAATGACTCCAAGTGACTCTGGCATTATTTCAGAGGTGCCCACCAGTGATTCTAGTGAGAGGTCTCTGGGCGAGCGGCATCTGCATCACTCGGAGCTTATTAAAAATGCGGATTTTCAGGTGGGACCCCACCCAGATCTACTGAATCAGCGAGTCTAGGGTGGGGCCAGCGATTGAGGTTTAACTAGATGATCCTGGTGCCTGCTGATGTCTGAGCAGTGGGGACAACATGGGCTGTGGATAAGACATATATGAAGCAGGGAGGCACAAACCCCTACTCAGACTTTCCAGAGGCATGGGGTCCTCAGATCCTGTGGCCCCAGGGGTCTGACCTTGGGTCCCGGGGTTGTGTATTCTTCATCCTTTGGTTGGGTCAGGTCTTGTACAACCATTTTTATAAGGCCCATGAGACACTGTTAGTGTGTCTCAATCACAAGGCATTAATTAGTGGGTTACTAAGATGCAGCGGAACATGGGAATAACAAGAAAGAAGTTTTGATAACACATGCTAAGGAAGAACAAGTCTCTTTTTCTAGGCATTGCTTCCCAGGCCAGATTTCTTTCCTTTCTCCTTCGTTTTGTCTACATTCCCTCCCTTCCTGGTCCCAGTCCTGCAGTGATCTTTGCACACAGTTTACCACTTAGCTTATGGAAGAAATGTGTGTCCTGGAGCCAGCGGGGAGGCTCCCTGCACCAGGGCCTCTCACTGGACTGGCAGCATCTGGGAGTTTTGTAGAATGCAGAGTCTCAGGCCCCAGCGCAGAATTACCGAATGAAAATCGCCAGGAACGTGTGCTATACTAAGCTCTCCAGGTGACTAGGAAATCACGGGGCCCCAACCCCAGAGTTTTTGATTCATTATGTCTGGGAATAGCCAAAGAAGCCGAGTTTGAGTTGCTGGGGACAGGAAGTGTGTGTGTATGTGTGTGTGTATTAGGGACACTGTGGCAGGGGTATTGGGGAAGATGGCTCTTTCACATTCGGTTGTTAAGAAACCCAATACTAGCACAGAAGAACACTTTCAGGTTACATTTGATTTTAAAAAGGGTCCTTCCGCTAAACGTGCCTTTAAAGAGCCTTAAAAAATGTTGTTTCAACTGACCCTCCCCTTGACATCCAGTGGCTTCTCCAGATCCTGGAAATACGAGGGAAGCAGTCGGAGTCTGGCGATATGTCCGGAGGCAGACAGAGCTCTCCCTGAGAGAAGGGTTCGCAGGGGCTTGCCAAGGGGCACTAAAAATTACGTCAGTCAAGGAATTTCCCCAGCAAGCCCACTTCACAGAGACCCAGTGCCCAGGCGGAGTGCTCTCCAAAAGTCGCTGGTTATTTCTGCCATGGTCTCTTAGGTTTTGTGTTGTTATCCTTAATTCCATGGGGCTTCTGCTTCCCTTGGGTGACTGAAAGTATTTTTGGTTCAATTCTTTATTTGCTGATTATGTCTGGGTTTTAGAATCTTACAGGTTCTTAGCAGAAGGAAGAAAATTTCCTTGTGCAGAGATCTGCCTCCCCCCAGGATGGGCAAATGTGAAGAGATGCCAACTCTCAGGAAGGGAAAAGGAGGTGGCGTTTGAGAAGGAAGGACTGGAGCAGAAATAAAATGCGGATGTGGAAGTAGCGTATCTAACACTTTCTTTCTGAGGACTGGCTAATTTATTCTGAGCAGCTCCTCAGCATAAAAATGCTTCTGAAGGCAGTCGGCTACCTTTCCACCCCGAGGGCTGGTGAGGGCTTAAGGAAATGCACAGTCATGTGATTGGGCTGAGGGAGAAAGTTTTTGCTGACACCCTTCTTTGTGAAGGTCTCTCAGAAAACAAGGTTACAGGTGACTCAATTATCCCTCAGGACCGAGGCTGTACCTTTGATCTAAAAATCTTTAAGTAGTAGGAGGGGAGAGATGAGGAAGGAGGAGAGGCCAGGAGACCTAAGAGTTTGTACGTGAAGCCATTCAAATCTGAACCAGACCAACATCCCGCATGCAGAGTGGAGCTTCCAGCTCATTTCTCAGTAGCTCTGAAACGGATAATCATTTATGCATGATTCAGACTCTGTGCCTTGATGAGAATTCTTTTATGTCCAGTTCTGCTGTCACCATAGGTTTGTGGCAGAGTGAAAAAGTAAGAACTTCAGAGCCAGACCAAATGTGAACTGTGGTTATCCCACATCCTAGCTGTGTGACACTGGCCAAGCTAATTTCCCTGGGCCTCAATTTCCTTATCTAGAAAATGGGGGTAATAAGATCTATCTTGTTGTGAAGATTAAGGCTATATGACAGTACTGCAATATTGTTTATGTCCAATGAATGTGAATTCCCTTCTGCAAACCTTTTGAAAACTCCCCTTTATGCACTGAGCACTGTGCCCCCCAACCACCACATGAGCTAAGTATGCATGATGTACTTTATATATATCATTGAAGAACTGTAGTGTGGCAGTCCTTTGTGGGCTGGGTGTGGAATCCTCATTTGATAGTCGAGGGACAAGAAGCTCCAAGAAGTGGAGTCCAAGGTATTTGGCAAATGGTGGAGGTGGGATTTGAGCCCAGGTGTAACTTAATATCCAGGTTCAAGATTTCTACACAAACTCTCTCTTCTGAATCTTTTGCTTGACAGGACTTGAAAGTTCAGCAATAGTAAGACGCAAAGAAAATGCACTTTGAACACTTGGTGTGCTTGGCAAAGTATAGTCTGGCACTAATTAATGTGTTGATAATAATTTAAGGCCTATCTTTGGCTATCACATATTTGCATTGCACTGTATTTTTGTGTATTTATTTATTCTTGGTGTCTGCGCTTTGTTTCCCCAACAAGACTATCGATCAGACTGAGATGAACTCTGAGTTAAGATCTGGTGTCTTCTCCTAATGGCCACTTAGGAGCCACCGTGGGCAAGTGACTGATCTTCCCTGATCCCCAGTTTTTCTCCCTATAAAGGAGCTGATGATAGTTGTTCTTCTAATTTCAGGAATTCTTTCAAAGATCAATGAGCTAATAAAAAAAAAAAAAGGAAAAGCTATGTCCAATCCTGAATTACTAGAGAAAATGCAAAATTTCCTCTTTGTATCCCTGGAGCGCAGGAGGAAAGGGCTGCTTCTTTTCTTCTTGTTCTCTGCAGCCTCCAGCACAGTGCTGAGGATACCACAGACAACCCCAGACTTTTGGTTTGATTCCTCCCCACATTAATTCATCCTGACCTGCAGCTAGACTCACCTTCCTAAAGCAGTACTTAGTATGCATCAGCACTCCCTGCCGCTTTCCTGCAAAGCCTCCTCCCCACCCGCCGCGCCTTGCTGGGAGAAGCATGTTCCATTCTCTCCAGCTCCTAGGCTCAGTGGGTAGGACCACAGGTCCCTTCCCCATCTCTGCCCTTAGACCACTGCACCTCCCCTGCAACCTCTGTCTCAGCCGAGCAGGCCTCCTGGCTGTTCTGTCCCCGAGACTCTGCAGCACTGTCACACCGTTTCCTCTGCTAGGGGGTAGCCCCAACCTTCCTTCTCATGGCTTCTTGTGCCCAACCCAAACTTCGCTTTGCCAAGAGCCTTCTCCTGAACAACCTGCTCCCAAAGGGCCAGATCTTTTAATTTCGAAATTGGTCTACCTGTTAATATTTATTTATTTTTGCATTGAGATAGAATTTACATACCATAAAATTTGCCCTTTTAGAGTGTACCCATTCAGTGGCATTTCATACATTTACAAGGTTGTGAAACCATCATCACTACGTAATTCCAGAACACTTTCATCACTGAAAAGAAACCCCGTATGCCTCAGAAGTCACTGTTCATTCCCCCTTCTCTCCAGCCACTGGCAATCGCTAATCCACTTTTTGCCTCTGTAGCTTTGCTTACTCTTGACAGTGTATATAAATGGGACCATATCACGTGTAGCCTTTTGTGTCTGGCTTCTTTCACATAGCATAATCCTTCCCAGATTCACCCATATTGTAGCACACATCAGTATTCATTCCTTTTTATGGCTGAATCATATTCTACTGAATGGACGTTCCACACTTGTTTATCCATTTACCAGTTGAGAGATATTTGGATGTCTACTTTTTTGACTGTTAGGAATAATGCAACTATGAACCTTTGTGTACAAGTTTTTTTGTGGACACATTTTCAGTTCTCTTGGGTATACTAACCTGTGTTTCAAATTGCTGGGCTACATGACTCTATGTTTAACTTTTTGAGGGAACTTCCTTTCTGGAACTTACGAACACTGAAAATGGCAATGCTGCTGGCAATCTTTTCTATGTCACCTTCCCAGAAGGTCTCACGCTCTCTTTCTAGCATAGTAAGTTGATACGGAAAGAGCCCAGAAAGTACGGCACATGGGGACGAAATGAGAGTTGGGGGAAGTTGACCCAGGAGGACAGGGAAGTGGAGTTTCCTGTTTTCTTGAAAGCTTGCTAGCCAGCCCCGAACACTGACAGGCTCCTGGCTGCCACGGCAGGGCCTGGGTTTCTGAGCTCCGGGACAGACTGCTCCTTCCCCGCATCCAA